ATGCATCAATTGGTCCCAACCTACCTTGAGTAAAGGAGAATGAAGAACACCAAAGACACAGGGAAAGTATTAGCCCAAGAGACAGAAAGGGCCACATAAACCAGAGAGTGCATCAGCTTGAGACCAGAAGAACAAGATGGTGCCTAGCTACCACCAGTGAACATCCTGACAGGGAACACAACAGAGAGTCCCTGTTGGAGCAGGAGAAAAGTGGGGTGCAGAACTCAAATTCTAGTAAAAAGACCAGACTTAATGGTCTGACTGAGACTGGAGGATCCCCAGAAAGCATGACCCCTGGACTTTCTGTCAATCCGGAACTAAAACCATTCCCGAGGCCAACTCTTCAGACAAAGATTAGACTGGACTATGGGACATAAAATGATACTCATGAAGAGTGTGCTTCTTAGCTCAAGTAGATACATGAGACTAAATGGGCAGGGCCTGTCCGGAGGTGAGATGAGAAGGCAGACAGGGTCAGGAGCGGTTGAATGGAAATGGGAAATCAGGGGTGGAAAGGAGGAGTGTGCCATCACAGTATAGGGAGAGCAATTAGGGTCACATAACAATGTATATACAAATTTTTGTATGAAAGGCTAACTTGAATTGTAAACTTTCACTTAAAGTACAACAATAAAATAAAAAGAAAGGGGGGAGAAGAAATTTGAGTATTTATAGTTATCAATTCTCACCAAAGTATTATTAATGCAATCATCGCCTTTTGTAATACCTTAGATCCTCTAACAGTAAAACCTTGGAGTAAGGAATAGAGTGTGAAGATGAAGGAAGCTAAAAAGCTGTGGAAAAAAAATGTGGACCACTATTGTCATTTTCTATGAAAGAAAAACTAAAATACATAATTTAAGATAATAGGTGTTTAAATATAAATAAACTCATAGCAAATTAGAGTCCAAGTGTATATGGCTTCTCCTTGACTTAAACAATGTTTATAAAGCAGTAACAATTTAAATAAAGGCAAGTTGGACTAAGTATTCCAGAATTAAAAAAAATAAAATTTAATCTGTAAACATGCAATTACCTTCCTCGAACTCTATTCAGAAGGAAATTTGGTATTTAATCAGACACCTAATATACATTTATGGACATTGTTGAGTCCATCTCAAAAAAACAACTAGTGATACCTATGAAAACCCTATTTCTTTCCTCTGCATTCTCTTAGCCATCATTCTAAAACAAGTGCATTTTAAAGCATCGTGCTCATAATGCAGCTAATGTATTCATGGCTACACTGTGAACCAAAATCAATGTTAAAATTAGTAGTCCTGGAAATCTTTAAAGCAAACGTTGGCATCTCCCTTCCTTTTTGCAAAAATTAACTGGAAATACAGGCAGCATCAATCTGCGAAATAAGGAGATACTAACACTTATCTTGGAGAAAAGCATAATGATACACCTTGATGGTTAAGAATTCAGTTTTAATTTTCCATTGTCTATTCAGTTAAGCAAAGCACTACATAATCTAACTTTCTATATCTACCGTTCAAGTACAAAGGGAGTCAATCTTTTCAAATTAAAAAAACTGTCTCTAATACACTGTATAATACACCTAACAAGAACAGTATCAAGTATTACTTCAATTTCATCTTATAGTTAATTTATTGAATAAACACTGAAATATGATGTAATAGATGCCCACAAATGTTTGAAGAACACGGGTTATGGCCTTTTGTAAGAAATCCCAGAATACTCACAGTATTACGAGGTATTAACTTTAGGATAATCTATAATTTAATTCTATAGTATTTTACACCCGGGAGAAGGACATCATGCTTGGTAAAGTAGAGGGTCATCAAAAAAGTCCATGAACGAGACGGACTGACACAGTGGCTGCAATAACGGGCTCAAACCTAACAGTGATTGTGAGGATGGCGCAGGACCTGGCAGTGTTTTATTCTGTTGTACGTAGGGTCGCTACTAGCTGGAAAAGACTCTCCGGCCCCTAACAACAATAACAGTATTTTACAGTTTAACTGCTTTTTTCCCCCTTGGGCCACAAAGTCCATGGAAAACCAGAACCAGCTGGGGACAGAAACAATGTGTTGAAGATAAGAGTGTTCATCTGTAAACACCGTGTACTTTTACTGAGAATTTTAAGTAGGAAATGTTCCCACCATAGTCATCACTCCTTCCTCAAATAAAAGGTGAAAGCACAGATTTTTGCCACTTTTCTTCATTTGATAATCCAGAAGGTATTAAGAGCAAGACTATTATAAAAGATTCTGTTACATATGTAGCAAAACTCTGCCATATGGTAAGTTATAAGGATTCAGTTGATCATTTCAGAGGAGGTATTAATCACTGGTGGCTACTAAAGATTCCAAACGGTAAATGTACTACTTCAGTACATTATGCTATCGTGTGTCCTGGGGTTAATACCTTAAGAGAAGTCATGTGCCTTCCAACTTGCCAATGTTACTTCCCTAAATATTTTGTGAACTTCCTAAGA